TATTATTATTATTATTGTTGTTGTTGTTGTTGTTGTTGTTGTTGTTTAACTTGTTAGATACACTTTATTGGGCTGCAGCGTCGTTGAATTGTAGAAATATGCGCTATATCTATATAAATATATTTGATTGATTGATTGATTGATTGATTGATTGATTGATTGATTGCAGAAAAGAAACTGAGGGATCATCATCATCACCACCATCAGTATGAGAGGAGGAGTCGAAGTAGGAGTGATGTATCTGGAAGGCATCGCGATGCTAGGTTTGATGACGATGATGATGATTGAATATGGTTGCAGGGATGATAATGATGATGATAATGATTGGAATGATATGGGACGATGATGATGATGATGACTAAGATGTGATAAATCATTTGTGACTATGATGATGATAGTGATGGTGATGGTGATGATGGTAGTAATAGTAATGATGATGATGATGATGATAGTGATGATGATGAAGATGATGACATTTCGTTCTTTTTTTTCATACTAGCATCTTTGTTTCTCTGCAGTAACATTGTTTTCTCATTAATCCACAATCGTTATTTAACTTCACTTTTAGATATTTTGATTTGAAGAGACCCATCCCGGCGTCAGGTGGCCCCTCACATCCCCCGCACGTCCCTCCACCCCCATCACAACTTCTACCACCCCCTCAGGTAGCGCCATCACTGTACAACTACCACCAAAACTTCCTACCTCTCTTTCACTCTTCGCCAGTCATGCCCGGCAAGATGGAACCTGATTTTGGCAGGCGACTAACTCCTCCTAATGCTCTGATGGGTTGGTTGATTGGTTGGGGGATTGATTGATTGGTTGGCTGTTTGGTTGGTTTGCTGGTTGGCTGGTTAATTGATTGGTTGGCTGGTTGGTTGATTGGTTGGCTGGCGAATTGATCGGTTGACCGGTTGGTTAGTTGGTTTGCTGGTTGGTCAGTTGGTTGATTGGTTGGTTGGTTTGCTGATTGGTTGATTGGTTTGCTGATTGGTTGATTGATTGATTAGTTAGTTGATTGGTTGATTGATTGGTTGGTAATAATAATAATAATAAATGGATTGTGATGATAATGATGATTTTGTTATTCCCCTGACACAAGCTCCACACTTGCGAGTTCCTCTAAAACCAGGAGGCATGTTGGCAGGCCCTGCACCAATGCATCCGGAGTGGGAGGCTAGGTTGGTGGTGATGACGATGATGTTGATGATGGCGATGTTGATGATGATGGTGGTGATGGCGATAATGATGATAATAATGATGATGGTGACAACGATGATGATGATGGTGATGATGATCGTGATTGGGGTGATTATTGTTTTGGTGGTGATACTTCCGGTTGTGTTGATGGCTGTGAGGTTGATGGTGTGATGGGTGAGGTGGAATGGATGATAGCACACCAACCATACACCACATCGCCGCTACCAACCACCACCAACCACATTACTACAGCCACCAACCACACACCACACCAACCACCACACCATATAACCAGACGAGACGTCTTTCTTCCTCCTCCTCCCTCGAGAATGCGTTCAAACACCGCCACTCCCACCAATCCCAACCTCCTACTACCACCACCACCGACCACCACCTCCGTCCTCGCACTGACCATGCCCCAAAGTCAGCTGGGTTCTGGGGGCGTTTTGGTGTTCAAGAAGGGTGAGTTGGTTTGGTGCTTTTGTTTTTTTTGTTTTTTTTTCTATATTATTATTTTGTTGTTGTTATTGTTGTTGTTGATGTTGTTGTTAATGTTGATGTTGTTGATGGTGATGTTGTTATTGATGTTGATGTTGTTGTTGTTGATGTTGTTGCTGTTGTTGGAGAAAAAAAATCAATAATAAAACTTCTTGAATTGAAAGATGTACCAGCCTCAGTGACGTCATCGTCATCAGCAACAACGACGACAACTACGTCACAAACGTCAGCAGTGACAGCAGCAGCAGCGTTGAAAACGCTAGCGGTACAACTGAATGACTATGCAGACCTGTCCGATGGAGATATTGAAGATGTAGCCAGGGGCGGAGAGAGTGACGACGGCGAGGGAGATGATGATGACGTGGAGGGGATGGATGACATTGAGAGGAAGATCCTTGTGTTGAAGGACGATGTTGGGCTGGATGATGAGGAGATGAGGATGGAAACTGTGGATATCTCGTCCATCCGCTTGCCCAAGATGATCGGTTGGTTGCTTGCTGGTTTCTGTTCGTTGTTTGTCACTCTTTGTTTGTTTGTCTGTGGTTTGTTTGTCTGTTTGTTTTTATTTTTTGTTGTTGTTTGTGTTTGTTCGTCTGTTTGTTCGTCTGTCTGTTCGCCTGCTTTTTTGTTTTTAATGTGTTTTCTTCTCGTTTGGTTGTGTTGTTTGGCTGTTTTTTGTTGATATGCATGTTATGTTAATGTATGCTCGATAATTAACATTAATTATTTTAATATTTATTCATCGGTCAGCATTATCTATGTTAATATTTGTTAGCGCACGTAAAGTAGTCAACTTTATTTATGTTAATATATGCTAATTATGTTATGTTGTTAATATATGCTAATTATGTTAAATATGTTAATTAATGTACGCTAATCAATCAACATGCACTAACTAATCAGACCTTGTGGACATGTTAGACATAAAATGGGAAGAGTTGAGAGGACCGGAAATGAGGGGAAAAGATTCTGAAAACGACGAAGGCACGGTTGAGAAATTTAGCGTCCTCGACTCGTTGAAATCAGTCGGCGTGTCGAAGGAGTTTGCAGGCGATGAGTTGTACAGCAAGGTGACTGCCCTGCTGCTCAGCGAGCAACAAAACAAAGATGACGCCACAAGTTGTCCCGGTAGCCATTCCGCTGCGATTAGTAATGATCCTGCTGTCGCCACTACTACAGCTGCTGTAGCTGTTGAGGCTCAGGATACGGAAGAAGTCGCATTGAAAAATGAAAATAATACCGATAGTAAAACGATCTCCGATGAGGGCGGTCAAAAGTCAAACGATGACGTCATGAATGACGAGAAGGTCAGCAGCAATGGCGGTAGCAGCCACAGCGACGACAACGGGAACGTCCTGACGATGCTGAGCTACGTGGCGAACTTCCAGGTGACTGCATTCCACCTGCTGGAGAGGACGAGGAACGTTCTGAAGGACATCGGATCTTACAGGAGGGGACTCTGTGCCAGGAAGGATCTCGAAATGAGAAGGCTGCTTTGTAGGCTTAATAAGGTTACTCTCACCTCGTTTTTTCTCTTTCTTGCTTTCTCTCTCTTTCTCTCTCTTTCTCTCTCTCTCTTTCTCTCTCTCTTTCTGTGTTGGTGTGTGTGTGTGTATGTGTGTGTGTGTGTGTCTGTGTGTGTGTCTGTGTGTGTGTGTGTGTAGGTTGAAGTTTTGAGGTTGTTGTTGTGTAGGAGGTAGACTCTTGTTGCTTTAAGTTGTTTTTAAGATTGTTGTTAATGTCTTGAATGAATTTTTTATAGTTGTTGAGTTGTTTGATCTGAGTTTTTTTTTAACAGGTTCTATCGTGATGAACATTAATTAAAGTTGATGTTATGCCTGAGTGATGTTATTTATTATGAACGGTGTCAGCAGTAGCAACAGTCTTGTCACATGTATTATTGATGTTGTGGGTGTTTCCATGGTTATGACGTTGCATCAACATCATTTTGTTGCAGGATGAGATGTTGATGTTGCCGGTGCAACCAGTCGACCAAGAGATGTACAAGTTGAGTATCAAACTACTCGAACAACGGAACTAACAAGAGCAGCCAACACAACTTCAACAACCAACTCAACATACAATAACTCAACATACAATAACTCAACACAACTTCAACAAACAACACAACAACAACAGACTCAACACAACTTCAACACAACAACACAACTTCAACAAACAACGCAACAACAACCAACACAACTTCAACAAACAACGCAACAACAATTAACATAACACAACTGGCAACACGGCAACAACTTCAACCAACACAACAACAACCAACAACTTTCCTATAGCAGGGACAACTACACCAACAACATTAATTTTGGCGATTACAAAATGAATTGAGAAAATGAACAAAAACTTCTTCTGAGTGCTGCTTGATTCGGATGATTTTTTCCAATTTTTTTTTAGCTGTACATTACTTACAAGCAATTTTATTTCTTGTATTGTTCATTATTATTATTAATATTGTTGATAAATAAGAGTTCTCATATGCCGAACTAGAAGATATCGTTTTGAATTCATTTTAAAAATTTTATTTTTATTAAAAACGAATTTTAATGTCACCCATTATGCAATGATTTGTTGCACAGGACTGGACAGATTGCATGAATAAATGTTTTTTTTTTTCATAAAAAAAAACAATTTTGTTATGTTATGAAGTCGTTTCTGTAGTCTAATGAAGCTGCCACTTCTGAAGTCTAGCAAATTCGCTTCTGAGGTCAACTCAAGGAAAGGTTAAAGGTCATTCTCTCTCAATTATTTCTCGAATGTATCAAACCACGTTTCTTACATTGCATATGATAGGCTGGAATCCTTTTGCAGTCGAACCCGGTCACTGCAAGCAGGTCTAGGCACTTTTCGACGAAATACAGATGTGGAAAAATTTTGAAGGTTTAGAAGCGTTACTCATCTATTCCACGTCAGAGATGTTAATGTTACTGTCAATCACAGTTAAAATGTCGTAGTTGGGGGGCCGTTACAGATGAATATTTAGGCCAGCGTGTTGGTACACTAATGTTACGTCATCCTCACGTCATCGTCATGTCTAGAGGCGTTTTTCATAACTAAGCAAAAATTTGTTCTGGAGGAATTATTTTCGGTCCCCACCCAGTTATGTCCTCAAAGATTGAATTGCACATTTCCGAGTTTGTGTCCAAATCTCCGTCTCATTTGATGGTGTACCCGCGTTCGGTTCGTATATTTTTTTTATTCAGTTAGAAGTGCTAGCGCTTCAAGTATTTTTTTACGCGGACATCGCCGTTTAGAAATTTATCCAAAGGCGCCAAAATAAGAGGCGCCAGTGAGTTCGATTGTTTTTTATAACCTGGTTAGTTAAATAATGGAGAATATTATTTAATTAAGTGACGTTATTAATTAATTGTTTGACGTAAAAAGTTGTCTTGAAAATAATTAACTTGATACGTTCTTGAGCTTTCATTATGAACCTACAAATGTGTGTCCGTTGCTTAGCTTATCTACGACTATGGTATATATAGTAGTTACATTGTGAGTTTTCGTTTAATTGTTCGAAATATTAAGTTGAAAGTAGCTGAACTTCAGTTGAATGAGAAACATTCGAAAAAATACATGGCAACTAACTTGCAAACTGGCCAACAACATGCAAACACCTCATTTCATTTTTGAAGATAGTTTAAAACGGCAACAACCAAAACAAACTACTACAACTGGCAGCGAACAAAAACAAACAACAACAGCTACAACAAGCACCAGACCACAAACAACAACAGCTACAACAAGCACCAAACCTCAAACCCCAACCGCTACAACAAACGGCAAACAACAACAGCTAAAGCAAAAACGGGAGCAACAACTGCAACAAAAACGTGAACAACAAGAGAAGCGAGAACAGGAACAAAAACGAGAGCAGCAACGATTACAGCAACAACAGAAACGGCTAGAGATACACCAACAACAACAAAGCCTGCAACAGCAACGAAATCGAGAGCCAGAGGAGCGAGTAGATGAACTAACTCAACCTCAACAAGCGCCACAACTCCCTAGTTTCCAGCATTTTATACGTCAACTTGAAACAGAAAAGTAAAAGCATTTTTTTTTATAACAAATTTCATTATCCGTTTAATCACAGAAAATAAAGCTGGTCGGTGAGTTAGCTCAGTCGGTAGAAGTCCCGTGTCGCGCGTCGTTATTGCTCGATGACTCGGTTCGAATACTCAGTGACTATCACAAGACATACCATGTGCGTATAAAGCAGAGCTTGCTTGCAGGGCTAATCTAAACGGGGGGCGAGATGGTGCACCATTTACAAATGAAAATAAAAACGTCGATTATATAACGCTCGTTACAAATTCAAACATGATTTATATAAGATATATTCTGCATTACTTATATACACTTATCGTATAATTAGCAGCATCAATTTCGATTTTCTCTATAATTGCAAATAAAATGTTGAGGGTGATACTAGCGGAGCAAGGTGGCCAATTTTAATAAGCTTGCGGGTGGCCAGAGGAGGTTTGGGATGGGTCCTGCTTGGGCGTTTATGCAAAATGCCTATGCTTCATTCAGCCTTTGTGACACCAACGTACGTCTAAATGTAATTTTAGAATGGTATGCAAGCAGCGCGTGACAAAGTTTCATGATGTGAAGACAAAGCAATGCTAATGGTGAGAGAATCGATTCTAAAAGAATTCTAAAATATTTTGAAAAGTTATTACAAAATAGGGCGAATAATTTGGTTAGTAATTTTGGTGGGTGAAATATTTAGTTGATATGAAAATGTATTTCAAAAATAGATATCTACAAAGAGGACTGTCCCTACAAGCCATGCAACAAATGCTGCAGCACCAGCAAGCATCACAGCCACAATCCCATCAATATCAACAAATGTTTCAACAACAGCAACAACAACTTAGTCAGGATCAACAAATGTTTCAGCAACAACAGCAACCCGCAGCTTGGCAACAGAAAACGCAGAAGCCACAATTGCAGCCACATCAAACCATGCCCCAGCCGTCGTTTCCACAGTTACAACAAATGATGTTCGGACAACAAATAGCACTACAACAGCAGATACTATTACAGCAACAACAACAGCACCAGGAAAAGGAAAAAATATTTCAGCTGCAGCAACAAATACAGCCACAACTACAAAAATTACAGCCGCAAGGAGCACCACAGGAACCACAAAAGCAACACTCACCTCATCTACACCAACCACAACAACAATCATCACCACCGTCGCAACAACAACCACCCCACAACACAACACAACAACAACTACATAGATCTAATTTTACTCCTCAGTTTCACAATAACCCATACACACTCGCGAACGATGATCCTTTGGTCCAACTGACAGATTTTCTTCCCCCACCTCGTCCAATGCCTCGTGAAGTCATGGACACTGTTTTCCAACATATAATGATGAATCAGGCGATGTACCCGGACAAGAACTTGCCTGTTGATGTCTTCTGCTACGATTTACAGGGCAATTTGTTGAGTAAGGATGTTTTCAGTTGGACTCTGTTGTCGCCGCCTTCCACGCAAACATCGTCAGAGTCGTCGCCATTGTCGTCGCCACCATTGCCACAATCATCGGTTTACCATTTTTTTGACGAGACTGGCGAGACGGTAGTTTACCGAATCGAACGGGGACAGCCCGTGCCTATGAACCAACAACAAACACCAGACACACAACTGCTGCAGTATTCAGTGCAGCGACAGCACCAGCCAGCTCAACAGACTCAACATCCACAACAACTTCAACAACCGCATCTGCGACAACAAACTTTACATGTGCCACATCATCACTCGCCTACTCAAGTGCCGCCATTGCCACCTTGCCAGCCGCATCCATCTTGGACACAACATCAGCAGCAACAACATCAACTACAAAATCAGCAGCAGCTGCAACAGCTTCAACATCAAAGGCAACCACAACAACAAACTTCCCAAGTTCAACATCAGGAGTTGCCTATTCAAGAACAGTCGTGTCAACGAATACAAAATTGGCAACAACATCAACCTTGGAAGCAACAACAGCAGCAACAACATACACCATGTCAACAATCTCAACATCAACCGCATCGTCCCACGCAACAAAACCGTCAGTTGCATCAGCAACTAAGCCAACAGCTGCAGCTCAAGTTGTCCCCTCCACTGTCACCATTACCACTCGCGAAATATAATCCAATGCCGAAGCAGCAGCTTCAGCAGCCACAAAAAACTCCCCAAATGCCATATCGACAGTCACCAAGTCAGCAACGTCATCAACTTTGGAGTCACCAGCAACAACAACAACAACGTCAACAACCACCGCAACAAAATTTACATGCTTCACTTGAACAGTCGCCACCCGTCTTTCAACAACAGGCATCTCAGCGCCAGCAACTATGGCAACGAGTCTGCTATCAAAATCAACAGCAGCAGCAACTTCAGCAGCAACACCAGCTGCTACCTCATCGACAGCAGTGTCAACTGCAACAGCCACTGCGGTGCTAGCCACAACAACAATCTCAATAACAACCCAAAAATCGCATCATTGACAACCTCCAAAGTGCCCAATCTGCCCTTTAAACACCTTTTTCGACATTTTCTATAGAAGCCCTTAGATTAATTTGTCGTCCCCGATAAGCGGTTTTAATTAATTAGTCAATTAATCAAGCTATTAATTATTATTATTAATCTTAGCTTGTATTTATAATCGTCTTTTAAATTAATTAATTAAAAATTTATTTAATATTATATTAATAATCTTTTAGCCAATTTGTTATATTTGAAAAATAACAGTGTTTTAGTTTTTTTATTGAAACAAGAATACATTTAAACGAGATGTGAGTTTAGTCGTTTTATCAAAATGAGAATAGATTGAATGAATTTTTGAATGAAATTTATGTTAAACTTTTTATTAATCATGTCGTGTAACGTTTTAAATTTGTTGTTCGTCTAGGTTAATTTCCTAATTAACTCTTTGATTGATTGATTGATTGATTGATTGATTGATTGATTGATTGATTGATTGATTGATTGATTGATTGATTGATTGATTGATTGATTGATTGATTGATTGATTGATTGATTGATTGATTGATTGATTGATTGATTGATTGATTGATTGATTGATTGATTGATTGATTGATTGATTGATTGATTGATTGATTGATTGATTGATTGATTGATTGATTGATTGATTGATTGATTGATTGATTGATTGATTGATTGATTGATTGATTGATTGATTCAATTAATCAATCGATCGATCGATCGATTGATTGGTTCCGACAAACTCAGGCGTTCGTTTGATCATATTTCGTTATTTTATATTATTTGTTTTTAAATGATGGATATTGAATTAAAACGATTGTTAATTTTCTATGTTAAGTTGAAGAAGGCGTTGAAAAAATTAGACGGCAAGCAAAAAAAAATATTATTATACTAAAAACTGTGATTAAATTATTGCGCAATTATATTATTTTATTTAATTATTATGATCACTCATGAGTTCTATTATTTATAAATGTTTTAATTATTATGACTATTCATGAGTTTTATTATTTATAAATGTTTTTGACTGATAACTAATCTTAAAATTCGAATGGGTATTGATAATTTTATTCTTTAAAAAAGAATCCCATTTTATCACATATGCTAGAAAAGTTGGAAAAGATTAAATCTTTAATTGAATAAAAGATCTTTAATGATTTTCAAAGTTTAATTGAGTGTTTTATTTGTTATAAATTAATTAAATAACATAAATTTTAAATGATTAGATTTATAAAATTTAGTTACATACATGTATATGTATCAAATGATATATATGAAATTTCGATGAAATTTCGATCTATTAACTAAGATAAGCTCATCCCATCTATGAGAATATCACATTATATATTCTACCATCCAATTGACTAGACTAGAATAATTTCGTTTGTCTGCATAGCATTACGAATACAGTGCAGTACAAAGAACATTAAAATAGCAATTTTTTAGGAGTTTCATCAAATTAAATTTATTAATGACATTAATAAGCGTATGACACAAAATGACGCCAACAAATGAAATTTAATGATGACATTAATAAACGGGTGGCATAAAATGACGTCACCAAATGATGATATTAACAAGCAAGCTTGATATGATGTGAATCAATACGAATGAAATAACGTTAAGCACAAATTTTACTGCATAACTTTCTCCAGAGTCAAAAAATGGAGAAAAATTAAAGAGAGAAAAAGGAAATGAAAGAGAACAAAAAAGATATCCTTGACATTTAATTAACTAAATCTGAAAAATAAAGTTGGTTTTAAAAAAATAAAGAATTGATTTAAATGATAGAAATCCTTGCTATCGACTTTCAGGTTCCATCTGATGTTTGTTGTGGTAGAGCCAACGATGGATTTTTATTTCCTTCTCTGTAAAAGTTTTTTGACCCTTTTAAAAATTCTTCGAAGTATGTTCTTTTTTCTCTGAGTTGCATTCGAACCTGGGTGAGTCGTTTTCATTGAACTTTTTTCTTTCACTAATGGCAGTTTGATGCTACGACCACAACGGTTGATACCGGGTGAGGATGTACTTAATGATGCTGGTATATTCCATGTTGTTGTTGGTGATGGCGGTTTGGTTGATGTTGTTGTTGCTGCTACCAATCTCATGTTGAATCTCGTGTTGTTATGATTGTTGGTGCCATTGTTTATGATGTTTTCGTTGATGTTGTTGCAGATGATTTCGCTAATGTTGTTGATGTTGAAATCGAAGCAATCACTTTCATCACTTTCATCCTCTTCGCTTGAGCTCAGGCCGATGTATTTGGTGCTGTTTTTGTTGTCGTTGGTGTATTTGTGGAAATCAAACGTGACCTCTGAGGAGTCATCATCATCGTAACCTTCGTTAGCACAACTGCCCATATTTTCATTTGAACTGTTATTGATGTGTTTGATGTTACTGTAGATGTTTCCGTAAATTTGTTGGTTGATGTCATCATTTATTCTGTTTCTGATGTCGTTGTTGATATTATTTGTGGTGGTGCTGGGAGTGCTGATGGTGTTGTTGAAATCAAAATAGATGGGAGAGAGCCAGTAACTTTCATCATCTTCATCTTCCTCATCTGAGCTCAAGCTGATGTGTTCGGTGCTGTTTGTGTTGTCGTTGATGTATTTGTGGAAGTCAAATTTGATTTTCACATGATTATCATAGTCGTTATTTTCATTTGAACTGATGTTTTTGATATTTTCCTCAATGTCTCCGTGTATTTTTTGGTGGATGTCATTATTTATATTGTTGTTGATGGTGTCGTTGTTAAAGTTAATGTCGTTGTTGGTGTTGTTGGTGTTGTTGAAATCAAAGTAAATGGGAGAGAACCGGTCACTTTCATCACTTTCATCCTCTTCATTTGAGCTCAGGTTGATATGTTTGGTGCTGTTATTGTTATCGTTGATGTATTTGTAGAAGTCAAATTTTATCTTTGAGGAGACATCATCATCACTTTCGTTAGTGTCCCTGTTGTTCTTTAAACTTGAACTATTTTTGATGCTTATGTTGTGCTCGCAAGGATGCTGTATCTCTCTAACGTTCATTTCACTCGCAGCCTCCCAGATTGATGTCTCCAAACTTACGTCGAATCTGTCCTCATTCATCTGTGTAACATTTGTGAGGGTGCTGTCGTTGGGAATGTTGTTGCTGTCAGAATCAAAGAAGACTTGAGAGAGCCAATCACTATCATTGCTATCATCTTTCTCATTTGAACTCAGGTTGATGTATCGAGAGCTCTTTTTGTTATCGTTGATGTATTTCTGGAAGTCAAATTTGATGATGACCTCATCGTCAACTTCATTAGTTACTCTGTCGTAATTTCTTTTTGAATTGTGGTTGGTATTGTTGTTGGTGTTGTTGTTGGTGTTGTTGTTGGTGTTGTTGTTGGTGTTGTTAGAATTATACTTGCTAGGAAGCCGTGTGTCATTAATTTCTATTCCACTCCCTACGGCCTCAACTCGCTCGTTTGTTGTTTTGTTGGAAGACATGTCAAGACGTGGATGTTGTTGATGATGTAAGTGTTGTTGTTAATGTTATGGCTGTTGATGATTTTGTTGGTGTTGTTCGGAAAGATTTTGTAATGGTTTTTCCACTCTGTTAATGATATTACAGCCAATGTAATTGTTGCTGGTCTATACCAAAATAGTGGAACACACTCCTATAATAACAGAAAATTATTTTTTAACCAAATTGTCAGAAATGTTTTCTATATTTGCAAGTCAGGATGGCAGAAAGCAGCTTCGGAAATTTTATTTCCCTACCTTTTCTTACGTCTGCTTATATACTTTCACCGACCCAACTAACTCAACATAGTAGGAGCAACAGCTAAAACTTACTCAATTAAACGCTATCGATCCTACTCAAAGTAAATCTCATTAACGACAATTACTTCTATGAGATCAAAGGGTTTTCCAATAAATACTTTGAGTTTTTAACTTCGTAAGTATTCAAATGGCAAGTATTCAGTATGGTAAGTATTCAGTATACTTTCACCGACCCAACTTATTCAACAGCTAATACCTACTCGATTAAATTCAACATCAAGCGCTATCGATCCAACTCAAAGTAAATCTCAACAACGATAATTATTTTTATAAGATTAACAGGTATTCCAATAATTTTTAAATTTGTAAGTATTCATTATGGTAAGTATTCAGAATGGCATGTATTCAGTATAATTATGAATGTTTTTAACAAAGAGATCTTGTCTTGCTGGCTGGCGCGTGTTCTTTTATTGATCCTAAATGGGAAGCATCCTAAATGGGGAACCGAAGGTAGATTGAAAAGGGTGAGTGGTCTGCCAATGAGAACTCTTTGATTGAGTAATAGTGCTTTTTTGTTTGATGTCTGAGGTTTCAATATCTTTGAAGTTTGGCTCTTTCTGGAAAAGAGTTTGTTGGTTCTTTCATCTGATTGGATTGTTGATGTTTATATTATGTTTGTTCTTCTGCTGGCTACTTTTATAGGGTTGATGTTGTTTCTTTGAAACGTTTTGTTGAATACGTTGTAATATAATGAAGTTATGGATGTTAATAAAAAAGGTTATTTTCAGTTTTGATATTTTTTCTGTAAATTTATAAATTTTTTTTACATTTATAGTATAGTAATATTTACTGAAGATTTTTATATTTTTTAAATATTTTTATGTAAGTTACATTCTGTATGCATCTCTGACAAATGCAGATTTACTTACACATCCTCTTGCTTAGTTACAATAAAACTCTATACGCCACTACAAAGAATGTTTTATTAACCATATTAGACATTACAAATCCAACTAACAGACTGTACTATCAACTACCTATGAAACAACTGGTACTCGAGTACAAAAAGTATACGGTGCTTAAAAAAGTAATCCATATTGGATTCCTAGTAGTTTTGGGACAACAATTCAATATTTCGATGGTTTGTCTGCGAAACTGGCCCAGAAGTTTCACTGCAAGAAATAATTGTCCTCAAATATTTTTAACGTACAAATGGGTTAGAATAGAACCGAAAAAGTATTGTAATATTATATCGGAATACTTTGTGTAGTAACTGTCGAAATGAAATATTAAATTACTGAAAAGAAGCCAAACTTCCCACCTCTACCCTTAAAGCATGTGTTTGATCCTTTTTTAGTTTTCACAAGCTTCGTTCATATGAACTAGCTGTGCTACGATTTCAAATTAAACAAGTGAGGCTCTCTTAGATTCATAACTATTTTTGTGGTGCAAAATTTAAAAAATGCCGTAATGCCGTAATAAAAGAGATAAAGAGAAAGAAGAAAAAGTAGAAAGACGGAAAGAAAGAATAGTGAGATGGAGAGAGAGAGAGAGAGAGAAAGAGAGAGAGAGAAAGCAAAAGATTGAGGAAACAAAGTTACAAAATGAAATATACCGAGCATCCTTGCGTTGTTTCTTATATTTTTATTAAAATTATTATCTTTTGTTTTTCAGATGTTACATTAAACGTTATTTCAAACTTTTAAAAAAATCAAACATTTAATATTTTATGGAGAATCAAGTCTGACTAGCATCAATAAATAACGAAACAGTATATGGCATATGTATGTGTGTGATTCTACGGATTTTTAATTAATTTATCACAATGGCAGAAAAACATAGGTGGATCTAGACATCTTTGAAAGGAGGGCAAAAATTTTATTTTAAAATGGTTTGAACTTTGAAAATTGACGGGGGAAGGGTGCAAGAAACTAACCAAATTTGTACTGCTATAGCTAAAATTAGGCTGGTGACTTTTATTGTGTATTCCTATAAAATTTTGAATAGACAGATAAATATAGTAGAAAACTACAAGCCTAATTCACTTGTTAGCTCCACATTCCAAAAATCGAACTATACTGCGTGTTCAGTAGTACATAAATACAGTAATTTTGATAACTGAAAAATCTGTTCCGTCAATTAAAAACACCATATAACAAAAACGTCTGGATTTCTATTATCAAATGCAGGAGGTCAAGTACCACATGGATTTAGTAAAAATACTACCAACTTAGGTTACTATATAGGGTACCATATAAATCTTTAAAAAACTACCAGCTGAGTTTACTATATTCAAGCCACATGCCATAAAATCGAATTATAATTCGTAAAATATAATAACCGATTTTTTTCGAATTTGAATAAATGGTTTATAACAAACGTGAATAAATAATGAAAGTTAGCTTACACAGTTTTATAACAGGCGCAGGTCTGACGTTTGATTATCTTTCAAGTTTTAATGGCGTGAAATAAAAACTTAATTACTGCAACGTTAAATACGCCACCGGAGTATTTCAAGTGAATTTCAAGTTTTCATTGAAGCTGGCAGACCAAATAAAACAACAGTCAAAAGATAACAAGACCAAACTGTATGCAAATAGAGTGAAAATCAGCATTTGTTTTACACACAATTGTAATGTCGATAAGAGGCATGACGTATTTTGAGTATTTGATTCACATGGTAAATCCATTCTTCTTCGTGAGATGTTTGTAGGCGTTCTGCGGATCGTACGTGTTGGGTCCGGGGTTGTCCCTGACGGAGATGTACTGCTTTTGTGCCGTTTGACCCTGGATCGTACACGCCCGGCTTGACCATGGAGTAGTTGGCAGGCCCTGGCGTGGCTCCTTTCAAGGCCATGTGCTACCGGAATTCGTTGTTGTGCCTATATACAAATTTTTTGTTTAAAATATTAAATGTTTAATTATTTTAAATTTTGAATAACTTTAAAATTAAAGATTCAAAATTCTCAAATCTATTTACCACAAATTTTTACTTTGAAAAGCAGACAAACATGTGCCTTCATCCCACTCATAAATATTTTCGTTATAAACAGTACGTAAATTTTATTACCACCTTGACACGCTTATAAGGGAACGTTCACATATTTACCTTTTCATGCACTCTTCAATAATTCAACTCGCAACTGACCGATGCTTTAAGAGGGAGCGGTATGGGATCTCGAGTCCCAATCCCTGTGGTCATGTCGTACTTGTTGGAGGTGGGGCGTTGGACGGTTTATCAATTATTGGACGACTTTTATTCCTCCTAACTTTTCTATTCCTCTTTGTTAACTCTTTCCTCATTTTCAGCTGGCAACTCTTGGTGTTGTACTTTTTCGTCAGAGAACTTTTCGCTTGCCTTGAAACACTTTCCGGCTCGTCGTCTTCATCAGAGGAACCGAAGATATCTTTAATCAATTCATCTGGTTTTACTTCATTTTTATCGTGAACAGAGTCAGCACTGACTTCACTGACATCAATCACTTTTCGTAAGTAAGCTGACATCAAAGAATTCATCGGATCATGCGACCAATCAGTTACGTAACAAAGGAAGGAAGGAACTTCGTGTCAAAGCAGCAACAAGTCTATATAAAAAAGTCAATAGGAGACGGAGTTCATTTTGTTTCATCCGACTGCTCATCGGATACTTGCAATTTTAAAATCAGCTGTCAACGTATGTTAACTGAAAATTATTTTTATTTATTTAAATTCATTCAAAATGAAGAACCAAGATCAAACCAACAAAAGTAGCAATGGTGATTGTAGTTCGAATGTTAATTTACTCGGTACAACAGGCAACAATGGGGACATAGAAAATTGAGATCAAATACATGTTCATGATGTCTTTTTCGCAAATCAACTATTATTGATCAACAACAATTTGACAATCAACAAACAATCATCCAAAAATGACAACAAATTTCAATTTTTGTGGTGACAATCAAAATTTTATAAATCCAAATTGTCAGAACTTCAATACTTACTCCCCGCATATCCATCTATCAACTCGTTCCGCACCGAACGATCAACAAACTTTTCTCAAATCAACTAATTGATATTGATCATCAACAATTTGTCGATCGACAGACATTTAGGCAAACGACAACTAATTTCAATTTTTGTGGCGACAATCAAAAATTTATAAATCCAAATTGTCTAAACTTCAATACTCATTCCCCGCCCATCCAACAACCAACTCTTTACGCACCGAACGATCAGCAAACAATTTATTCATTACACAATCAACCATCTTCATATTATTGCGCAAATTCCACAAATTATTGCTCGCCAACCCAAACGTCTGCTTATTTTTTCACATCGAATCAACCGTCTACACAAAATTTCGCACCAATGCAACAACCAACGTATTGTCTTACACCAACTCAATTTCCAATTAAACCAACAACCAAAACCGGCTTATTCCACGTCTACCACTTCAAATCCAAATGCCGATGTCAACTGCATTCAACTTAACTCCACATTAGCCACACCAAATACTTGAACCAAAATGTCAGCTGCAAATGCCGCTGTCACCAACATACAACTTAACGCAACGTCAAAAAATGGTAATAGACGTATTTATCTTACAAAAGAAAGGACATAAAAACTTGAAGAATATTACCAGAGCCCCGAAGTCAGTGTGGGTTCTCTTATTCGCAAGTGTCGAAATGGAGGAACAAGGACAAAAACACGCGAACGTTTACTCCACATCTACCACTTCAAATCCAAATGCCGATGTCAACTGCATACAACTTAACTCCACATTAGCCACACCAAATACTTCAACCAAAACGTCAGCTGCAAATGCTGATGTCAACAACATACAACTTAACACAACGTCAAAAAATGGTAATAGACGTATTTATCTTACAAAAGAAAGAACACAAAAACTCGAAGAATACTACCATAGCCACGTAGTCAGTGTGAGATCTATTATTCCCAAATTTCGAAAAGGAGGAACAAGGACAAAAACACGCGAACGTTTTCAGAGATCGTCGTTGGGAGAAAAAGAAAGTGAATTCATTCCTTTGATGAAATTGATGAAAATATCTGTTTATAGTTCAATTTAAACTTTTTTTACTTACTGAATGTTCTATTTTTATACATGTGTGAAGTCAATTTATTTTATTATTTTTTATTATTTATTTTTGTGATACATCTGCGATAGTTTGCATCCCTTTTCATTTTGTGATATCAAATGATTCCAAGTCATTTTTACAATCCAATGTTCCACATTTTACATTGTTGCGGTTGCGTTAATGTTTGAGTTGAGAACACCGTACCAGGAAGAGCAGAGAGCGGGAGAAGAATAGTATTCGTTTGGATAGGCTGGACATGTGTTTCGTTCCAACTGGGGACTTATCAGCAGCCCGAATGCCTATCAGAATAGTTCTCGTAATTTCTTATATAGTCCGCACATATCACTTCGTTAGTTCGTGGTGTTTTTATTTATGATTGAAGATTGTTACTTTCATTCGTTAAGATTTTCAATCCGAAAATACTCCCCCACCAGATAGTCGCGTGTGTGTTGGCGACGTTATGAATGAGGTTGAATTGTCGGGGTCAATCCGGTGTAGTTGTATAGAAGAAAGATTCGCATTGGAGTGGGAACACTCGTTGCTTGCTTCTTCGACCACGTCGGCGTCACCATCTTGTTGCGAGATTCTTTGAGGCTAGAAACAACAAGTAAAAATGTTTATAATGTATTTTATTTACGTAATAATAAAATAAACAAAAACGTGTTCGCCGCCATAGGACTCGAGAAGTTCGCTTGTAAAACGTAGCGCGGAATGGCCTTTGTTTCCAAGCTATATATAACAAATTGTCACAAGCTTAAATTAGGGATGTGCGGTTCAACAACATTATAATACATGTTATAGTTCACAGATTAATCTTTTCTTTTTGCTTTTTTAAATTCTATTTTTTTAGATTTTATCGACTATTTTTATCAATAAACATTGTGATTACAATAAATTTGAAGATGATTAGAGCATTTTCGTTTTGCTCATTTTCGTTTCGTTCATTTTCGAGGTTTCATCTCTAAAATATCGATTTTCTTCAGATGAAAATGAAATTATTAAACTATTTATGACTCGCTATTTTAAAACCGCTTCAATTAAATATTATTACAAGAAAGAAATATAGCAAACACAACATTGAAAAAAATTCTTTTTATTTTGATTCAAAGTTAACGCACTGAAAGACTTTTACGTGCTATCCATTCCTTTCCTACATTTTCATACGGCGATAGTGTTACAATACGTAGCAGTTGTAGTAGTAGTGATTGTAGTAGTAGTAGTAATTGTAAATAGTACAGATACTATTGTTGATATGCAAATGAGGTAATAATAATTCGAAGGAATGGTTTATAACAAACATGAATAAATAATGAAAAATTAACCCACGCAATTTTATTATAGACGCAGGTCAGATTTTTGATTATTTTTTTTCATGTTCAAATCAAAACTCCAAAACTTCAACGTAAAATACGCCACCAGAGTATTTCAAGTGAATTTCAAGTTTTCATTGAAGCTGGCAGATCAAATGAAACAACAGTCGAAATATAACAAGACCAAACTGATTGCAAATAGGGTGATAGATCTGCATTTGTTTTACACAATCATATTCACACAATTGTTGTGTCAATAAGAGGCATGACGTATTTTGACTGTTTGATCCCCATGGTAAATCCATTCTTCTTTGTGATATGATTGTAGGCGTTCTGCGGATCGTACGTGTTGGGTCTGGGGTTAAAAATTCAATAAAAAAAAAACCAACATTATCCCTAACATTAATGTGGCAAGCGAGAGTGTTGGTTTTATTATTCTCAATTAAATTTTTCAATTGAAAAAATGATTTCACTTGTTATAGGAAAAAGTGTATTCTCTGCCTTTCATGGTGCCACAAGTTAACAGCTTCGATTGGTTAGGCCCAATAACTGACGCCATTGCATCAGCATTTGACCTCTCTCCATATTTGGACGAGTATACGAACAAAAGAGTCAACGACGTTAGAATTTTAAACATACACCACACACACACACACACACACACACACACACACACACAAACACTCACTCAAAAACACACCCACACACACCACACTCTCACACACACACACAATCACTTACACGCTGTTAATTTTTTCTATTCTAGCACGTTAGTTCAATTTTTACGAAAAAATAGTCTCGCATATTTTAATTAACATTTATTAATTTTTAATTAATTAATTAATTAAATTTTAGGCAGCATGATATGCTTTTGACGTTCATGAATCAGATCACTCATTACCATTCCCTGACGCTGAAGTAGCATGTCAACAATTTGAAGTATCTGCAACAATGAAAAAAAAGACAATTTATATTTTACGTTATTTGTTAAAGAATTATGAATTTTTTAATTTAATTTAGAGAAAAAAACAATTTGTAGTTGACGCTAAATACTGAAGAATGAGGAATCGTTTAATTAATTTAACGAAATTGGAATAGATACGAGACGAAAATCTAGGAATTTAAAACGGTGTAATTTTAATGTGGTGGCAAAAATGAATTAAAAGTCTAAAAACAGAAAAATAACTTGCGTAATTCGACTCTACAGAAGTGCTCAACGTCGTTAGCATGGCTGATTTTAAACTGGGCACTCCCCTCAGAATTGTTATTATTTTTTTCCATCAGGCTTATTCATTTATTTTTCAAACATGTAAGACAACAAGTAAATCGTGAATAAATTTTTTATTGGTTTAAAATTCAATCACAGCATATATATATACAAGCATATACATAATTACATATATAGATATTTACAAAGAATATACTAATTTAAAAAAGTTACATCCCTTTTATATGCTCATGTTGTTTCCCTGGAGGCTGACGGAAACCGCTGGCTTTGAAACGCTGGCTCTTTTCATCGCTTTCACTTTTTTATTCAGTTGATCCAGCCTGGTTAGTTTTCTTTTCCTCGATCCACCCTCCGCTGGCCCACTTTCAACTTTCCATTTTGGTCGAATGATGTATTCCGTGAGGGATGGTTCTGGTACTCTAGCTCTATCAGCCGGATCCGCATCTTCCGGCAATAAACGTTCTTTTTCCTTTTTAACGATTAAGGCTTCCGTAAATCCGACGCGTGCACTGAAAGAATTTGTTTCTTCCTGCTTTTCAGTTTTTGAGGAAAGTTTACGTTTTTTAGTACAATGTTCTAAATCTCTCTGCTGTCGCTCTTCTCTTGTGAAATCTTTAAAAGAAGCATCTTGACAAAATAATGGTTTGGCCCACCTTGTTATTAACTGCTGACATCTATCTTTGTTATTTGCGGTTTCTTTTGGATGCTTGAAAAGGTAGGCCACTGCTTTCCCAAGACCACTTGCCTTCAATGCTTCGCTACTTATCGGCGGATAATCAAGTAGTTGCTTGAGGAGTGCCTCTCTAACTTCCAAATGAGGCAAACAAAGATTGGGCAATGGTGCCAGCCAGATTGCTATAGAACTGAAAATTCCGGAATCTGATAGCGATTCTAGGATTTCCAGTTTACCGAGTTTTGCTTTTACGTATGGTAATTGTCTCATAACTCGAATGGCCGGTTTGTTTTGACAATTCAATTGCCTATCTTGCTCGGCAGCTGTGTTCATTTTTTGTATCATTTCTGCGATGGCATCGTCGTTGTCATTGATGAGTTCAACGTCATCTATTTTTCTCTTCCTCCTCCTTCTTTCTTCCTTCTTCTTCGCCATCATCAGATCAAAATCATAAACAATAGGCTCATTATCGGGAGCAGCCATGTTTGATGATGGAGATGATGACGGTTCATCAACTGTAGGACGACTTTTGATCCTCCTAACTCTTCTGGGCTTCTTTGTCACTACATCATCAGATGGCAACACTTTGTGTGTTTCTTTATCGTCAGATACACAAAAGATATCTTCAATCAATTTATTTTGATTTTCTTCTTTTTCATCGTGAAGAGTGTCTGCCCTTTTCACTTGCGTTGAAACACTTTCCGGCTCGTCGTCTTCATCAGAGGATATCTCTTCACCGAAGATATCTCTAATCAATTCTTCATTTGTTTTAACTATTTCTTCACCGTAAAGAGATCCATCCTCTTTATTGATGTTGCAATTTTCATCATGTTTCGACCTTCCACCTGCATTGTTCTTTATTTGTTCAGCCATGTCGACACTAAACTCGTTCTCTATCGTAATTTAGACTCGTACGTGTAGGGCACCTTACTGATAAGTTGTTCAACGGAGAATGATGTGTTACTGAATATCTTCGCTTATTTATAGTAGCCAAACAAAGAACAATATTTTCATTGATCAACAGAGAATTGTAAACGGAGACCCAACAAGAAAGGAAAACTTAGCTTAAGCTTGACAATGATGTCAACATAATTATCGATCTAATTACTATGACATAGAAACTAATTAGATCACTTCGGATCACTTTCATCTAATTATCAATTAATTAATAAGACGATTATAATTATTTTTTTAATTTTTTGCGTTAAAAACCATCAAGCTTCAAGTTGTAAAGTGAATATCGAAGCAATAAAATCACTTTACAACTAATCATCAAATAGATTCACTTTTATCTGATCATCAGCTAAATCTTTCTATTGATTCACATAGTATTTGCAAGGTGAAGTTTATTCACTTAGTCGGGATGTGGACTCAAATTTGTCCGTTGCAAACAGTGTTACAATATTTTTCTTGGTGAACATGGAAGAACACAACAACCAACAATTAACAAGTCTGTTCAACAAATAACAATGGATGAAATTTAAAAAATGCTTAACTCTTTTCTTTTCAAAGATAAACAAACATTCAATGTCAGATTGAAAACTGGGTTCATAGACGGATTGAAAAATTGATAGTTTCAGGTTGTCAATGGACTGTCAATAACATCTGTCACCAATTTGAATTTGATTGGTCGGTCAGAAAATTCGTGACACTTTGTGGCAAGATTTTGACAGGTTACGCAATTTTTATTGTTTGTAAATTTAATTTAGTTCTGTGTTACTGGCGTGAAGGATGATATCGTTTTTAAGTTGCAATATCCGAAGCATTTTTTTTGTTTTCAAAAAATAAAATAAAACACACACACCAATTACTATTACGTAGAAACTAGTTAGATCACTTTGGATCATTTACATCTTATCATAAATTAATTAATAAAACGATTATAATTATTTCATTTTATTCATAATACTAAATTAATTAATTAAGTTTGTGTTAGAAATCATCAGGCTTCATGAATGTTGTAAAGTTAATATCAAAGCAATAAAATCACTTTACAACTAATTATCAACGAAATCAGGCAGGAACAAAGTCAATTATGTAAGTTAATACACTTCACTGACATCAATCACTTTTCGTAAAAAAGTTGACAGCAAAGAAATCATCGGATCATGCGACCAATCAGTTAGGTAACAAAAGAAGGAAAGAACTTCGTGTCCATGCAGCAACAAGTCTATATAAAAAAGACGACGGGAGTCGGAGTTCATTTTACTCCATCAGCTCAACCAAGCAACATCGTCCTCCGTCTGCTCATTGGATACTTGTCATTTCCAAATTAGCTATCAACTTATAATATTTCAAAACTATTTTTATTCATTTAAATTCATTTAAAAATGAACAACCCAATCCAAACCGACATAAGTAGCAATGATGGTTATAGTTTGAATGTTAATGGGCCAAGTATAGCCAACAAAAATGGAAACATGGAAAATTTAGATAAAAAACCTGTTCATGATTCCTTATTGGCGAATCAACTGATCAATATTGATCAACAACAACCTGACGATAAACTAACATTCAACTCTACATTAATCACGCAAACGACTTCAACCGCCACGTCAACAGGAAATGCTGATGTTAACAGCGTGAAACTTAACACAACATCAAAAAAAGGCGAAAAACGTGTGTATCTGACTGACGAAAACACAAAAAAACTAGAAGATTACTATCAGAGCCACAAAGAATTTCCGTATCCTGATCAAGAAACAAAAAAATTCCTGGCAAGCCAGTGTGAGATTTCCCGTACCCAAGTGACGAAATGGTTCTGTAACAGGAGAAGCAAAGACATACGAGCCATTTCGGAGATCGTCAATGGCCAAAAACTTAGCTCCACATCATCCCCGCCTACCACTTCAACTGCAGATGATGACGTCAACGGCTTACAAACAAATCCCACCTCAAAAAAAGGTAAAAGACGTGTGTACTTGATAGAAGAAAAAACAGAATTACTCGAAGAATATTACCAGAGCCACATAGCATTTCCGTATCCTGATCAAGAAACGAGAGATATCCTGGCCAGTCAGCTTGGGATCACTCATTTACAAGTGACAAAATGGTTTTCTAACAGGAGGAACAAGGACAAAAATACACGTTCGCTAACAGAAATTGTCGGTGGAAGGAAAAGAAAGTGAATCTCATTCCTGTAATCTCTGTTAATAATTCAATTTAATTTTTTTTACTTTTTGAATGTTCTATTTTATATATGCGTGAAATTAATTTATTTTATTATTTATTTTTATGTGATACATCTGCGATAGTTTAAATGTATATAAATCACCATACCTTTACATTTTGTGATATCAATTTTTTCAAAGTCATTATTACATTCATTATATTATGCTCCATTATATTCCATTTACATTTTACATTATACTACTTGATAACTTTTGTAACGGTTTATAGATTAATCTTTTATTTTGCTTTTTTAAATTTTATTTTTTATAATTTTAATTGACTATTTTTATTAATAAACTATGTGACACAATAAATTTGAAGATGATTAGAGCATTTTCGTTCATTTAAAATATCGAAGTTGGTGTTGCCTACTTTTACATTTATTCCACGTACAAATTTTCATTAAGTTCCATTATATTTTAGTCAGATAGAAATACACGAAACTAGCGAGTCGATATGATTCATGATATTAAATCATGCATTTCTGCGATTAAACCCCAGCTGAACGTTTTTTTTTTCTATCAACAACTTGAAATAAATTTTCTAAATACTATTTTTTTCAATTTAAAACAAAAAAATATCCAGCTTATAATAAACTTACAAAAGTTAAACCATAGGTTATACATTTGGTTGTAGCGTGTTTGAATAGTTATGGCCCAATAGTAGTAAAGACCTTAACAACTCCGTTTTACTTCTTTTTGTGTCATTCGTCAGATCATGTCCTAATTTTTCAGTATTACTTTCTAAAACTTGACGCACTTAACTCTTATTTTTAATATCTCACATCGAAATCTCTAAAAATAAATCCTTCTGTATAAAAGAACTGAGAATAAGATGACACACACAAAATTTTTATATAATTTTCTGTTTAAAACCTACCATAGCTACAATAATTTCTGTATGAAATATCGGTTATACCAGTAAATAAAGAATCGATTCTTTAGATTAAAAATATGCAACCTTTCGTGTCTTTCGTTTAAATAATGGAATTGACAGTATTTAGAATGTTTAGGTTGTTTGATATTTTTCAGTCATAAATGTCACCATGGTTGCTTTATCAGCAAATTATTTAGATCTTAAAAGATTAAATCCGGCGTTGGAGCTAGTGTGTTTCGCTTTCTTGGGAGATCATAGGTTAAGTATGTAATTGAGATTATAATTTGTTCACGATCATTTTTATTTTGTCAATTTTTAAATATTGATAGCAGGTTACTTTATTATTTTTTTCCATCTGGCTTATCCATTTATTTTTTAATTAAACATTATAATATAATGTATCGTGAAGTTTTTTGTTGGTTTAAAATGCAATAACATGTGAATAATATAAAATGCAAGAAATATTGATAGAGAAAGCAGCCTGATATGGACAAAGACTGCATGTTCTCATAAAAAAGAGGTTCACTTTAAAAAAATATAAAATATAAGTATATACATAATTACATATATAGTTTTATACAAGCATATACATAAATACATATATAGATATTTTACTATATATTATACTAATTTACAAAAGTGAATATTTACAAATGTGACAGCCCTTTTATATGCTCATGTTGTTTCCCTGGAGGCTGACGGAAACCGCGGGGGGGGGGG